AGACCTTGTCTCCAAAAGAAAAAGAAGGGGGGATTGGGAGCTGGAATGTAGCTCAGTGGTAGAACACCCCTCGGTTTGATATATAGTACTACAATTAAACAAAGAAATAAAATCCTAAACCAAAGCAAACCACCCTGCCACCAGCGGCAAGTTAGAGTCACACATTCCATGCACAGGAGGAGGTGGGGTATTTCACGCGGTGCTTCAGGATAAAGCAAAGGTCCCTTGGATTTTCCCTTGGCCTTTGCTCTTGTTGGGTGTGATAAGAATTTCTGTGCTTTGGAAGGAAGTGAGGTTCTTCTGGAGTGTTCAGAAGGCCTCTTAGGGGAAGTGTGGAAGGGATTCTTCTTCTAAAGTTCATGTTAGTCAGACCGGGGATACAGCTCAGTGCCTGCCTTGCAAGCACGAGGTCATGAGTTCAATTCCTTGTACCCAAAGAAAAAAGAAAAAAAGTTCATGTTAGTCAAGAGTACAAGGCTATTGGGCTGGGGATTTAGCTCAATGGCAAAAGCGCCTGCCTGGCAAGCGCAAGGTCGTGAGTTCAGTTCCCGGTACCGGAGAAAAACCAAAAAAAAAAAAAAAAAAAGAGTACAAGGCTGAGCGTGGTGGCACACCCCTGCAATCCCAGCACTTGGGAGGCTGAGGCAGGAGGGTCTCTGTGACTTTTGAGGCCAGCCTGGGCTGCATGGCAAGACCCTGTTTCAAAAAAAGAAAAAGAAAAAGAAAAAGAAACGGACACAGCCACATCTCAGTGATGCTGTCATCCTGGCCTCTGCAGGCAGCAGTGGCTTGAGACAGGCTGCTTTGCACACGTGGCCTCCTTGGTGACCTGGACCAGCCAGCCAGGCCCGACTTGCTGCCCCAGGCTTCTTGGGAACTGCAGGAGACACGGAGGCCGTGGGCAGTGGATGGGTGAGGGCCAAGCTGGACAGCGCAGCGCAAGCCGCAGTTCTGGGGAGCTGGGGCTGCAAGGGGAGGGGACACGGATCACCAGAGTCTGAGGCCAGCCCGGGTACGAGCAAGTTTAAGGTCAGCCTGGACTCCATAGGGAGACTTTGTCAACTTCCCTCCCTCAAAAAAGAATAGTAAATAAAGTCAGTGGCTGTAGCAGGATTCATCTGGAAGTCGGGGTACGGAAGGGGGCCCTCGGGGTCAGGAGAGGAAGGATGTGGGTATTTTGAGACTAAGGTGATGTGGAGTGAAGGAGGATGGCGCTGAGAGAGCCCAGGCACTCCTGGTCTGCACGGCCAGGCGGGGAGAGCAGAGGGGTGCAGTGCTGATGTCTGCCTCGTTGTTCTGTTTGTCCCTGGACTAAGGATTTGACTTTGGGGGCTCATAGCGCCTGGTAGGATGCAGTTAAGTTCTGAGGCCCCCATATACACAGCCTTAACACCTAAGATATATTTCCTACTCACAGAGGTCCTCCCGCCTTAGGCTCTTGGGTGCTGGGATTACAGAAAAAAAAAAAGAACAACAACAAAAAAAACCCATGCCCAGTAGGAGACTCCTCCCGCCCACTGAGGTCCCTTGACCCCTGCAAGTCTTTTTTTTATTTTTTAATTTAATTTAATTTTATTTTATTTTTTCCCCTGCAAGTCACCCAGGCTGGCCTCCAACTCACTGCAATTCTCGGTTTTCCTGCCTCAGCCTCCCTCCAGTGCTGGTTTCCAGTTTCCAGCCTTGCACCTGCTGGGCGGATACTGTACCACTGAGCTCCCTCCCTGCTGCAGGGACTGCTGAATCCTGCTCCTTTGTTGTTGTTCTGGCTGTTGTTTTGTCTTTTTGTTTGTTTGTTTGTTTTGTCTTTTTGAGACAGGGTCTCGTTGTGCAGTTCAGGCCAGCCGTGAGCTCACTCTGTAGCCCAGGCTGGTCTCGAACCCCCACGACCCTCCTGCCTCAGCCCCCCCAGCGCTGAGATCACAGGCGTGTGCCACCATGCCCGGCTGCTCCTTTGTTTTGAATGCGTCCTGGCTCTGTATGTATCTGTGCTGTGTGTGCAGCAGAAGGAAGCCAGAGTCCTCCACTTCCCTATTCCAACTGGGGCAGGGGCCTCGCCATCTCCCAGGGGCTGGAGCGGGAATGCGGTGCCCAGTCAGCACGGCCGGGCAAGGCGAGCTGGGCAGTGAGGGGGGCTGGCGGGACTCCAAGAACAGGCCTGGACACGGCGTGGTCTGTCCAGGGCTTGCTCGGGCACCCTTGCCCTGCTGACAGTGCTTCAGGGGACATAATTCACATGCTCCAAAGCTCCAGTACTTCTGCCGGATGAGGAAGGCTAGTTACCAGCCACATGTTCAGAGAACTTGAACTCTTTTTCTTTCTTTCTTTCACTATACAAATTATCCACGCTTGATACGAAAAAGAAAAAAAAAACTGAACAGAACAGATTTGAATGAAGTCGGTAGTCAGCACTGCGTCCCTGCTCCCCCGCACTCTGCAGTAGGCTCTGTGTGAAGGATTTTCTCGGAGGACCTGCTGCCAGACATTTTTGAGGCATATACAAATTTGTCCTTTTATTTTTAATTTAATTAAGTAATTTATTTATTTTTGTCTTTTTGAGACAGGGTCTCACTATGCAGTTCAGGCTGTCCTTGAGCTCACTTTGTAGCCCAGGCTGGTCTTGAAGTGGAAAGGATCCTCCTGCCTCAGCCTCCTGAGTGTTGGGATTACAGGCGTGTACCACCACTCCCAGCTCATTTTTTTTTTTGATACTGGGAATCGAACTCAGGGCTTTGCGCCTGTCCGGCAGGCACTGTGACCCTGAGCTACATCCCCTGCCCCTGGGCCACAATTCTTGCATGGGTTTGTTCCTGTTAACTAGGTCACTTGCTAATTTATGATCTGATACCATAATATGATGCTTTGTAGTTACGTGGAAATTGGAGATCTCTAAATGTACATTTTTTCTTTCTTTTTTTTTTTTTTGGTTGTTTTGAGACCAGGTCTCGCTATGCAGTTCAGGCTGGCCTCAAGCTTATTCAGCCTGAACTGAGCTGGTCTCGAACTCGAAACGCTCCTTCTGCCTCAGCCTCCCGAGTGCTGGGATTACAGGCGTGCGCCACCATGCCTGGCTAAACGTACACTTTCATAAATAAATGAATCCAGGCATGGTGGCGCACGCCTGTAATCCCAGCACTTGGGAGTTTGAGGCAGGAGGATCACAACGAGTTCGAGGCCAGCCTGAACTGAGCTCCGTAGCGAGACCATGTCTCCAAAACAAAACGTTTGTATGTGAAAACAGCACTAGTTTTTACCACTACTCAAAGTGTTCCCTAATCCTGAGCACCTCTCTCGTGCCCATAGTGTAGGACCCACAATTCTGCATCTGCCCGCTGCTGAAGAGGCTTTAGTAGAAATGGCGCTGCATCGGTCTCCACTTTGACGCACATGGAGGCCATCAACTCATGTACTTCAAACTAGGGTTAAGTACCTCCATCCTGATCTACAGTTTTGAAAACTACTGAATTTATTATGCTGTCAAATTCAGCTCTCATATTATCTGATATACAAGGAGGCATGAACTAGGTTCCCCATCTCAAAGTTGAAAGAATATTTTTTTGCTACCCAGATATGGTGGCACAGCCGGTAATCCCGGGACTCTCGAGGCTGAGGCAGGAGGATCACAGTGAGTTTGACGCTAGCCTGAAGTTAAGCAATCCAAAGGACAAAAAAAAAAAAAAAAAAAAAAAAAAAAAAAAAAAAAAAAAAAAGGAATATTTTCTTGTTAAAAGTTGCACAGAAAGGTAATGGCAAGAACCCATTTTGTTTTTAGATCTCTTGGATCACAGTTCAATAGTATTTGTGAGTCCAAATTATTCTTAAAAGGAACCACTGGGTGTAGAAATTATAATCTGAATAGATATTCCAAAGAGAAAATTATCACTTTATTTAAAATAGATGAATAAATTATCTTGAGCTATGTTCTATCCCTTAATTATTCTATTACGGATCATAACTCCTCCGGGAAGTGTGTGTGGTTTAAGGACACCAACGAGCATTTACAGAATATTAACAAACCAACAATAGGTTGATGATTCACCCTGGATTCATGCCAGGGTCTGTGAAAGAACTCAATAAACACGATATGCATTTCAAAAACTAGTAATCATGATTAAAATTTCCCAACCCCTCAATCCTAGAAATTATATTAAATAGAAGATGAGCTTTTCGCTTGCCACAACTCCCCTTGCAGCGTCGAGGACGCTATGATTGTCAGCTTGGGGGTCGCTGGGACAGGGCACTGCATTCTTCAAAGGAAAAAGGTGGTTTCGCTTTTTCCATTTTTGCAGTTTAGGGGGACAGGGCCGAACGCTGCCCTCGGAAGCCCTCCCGGTATCTGTGGTTATGGTCTCCTCTTTATTCCTAAGTGAGACTTTTTCTTCTCCAATGAGCAGAGCAATTTTCTAATTTTGTTTTCTTTTATGCAATTCAGCTTTTGTCACACATTCTTTAAAAAAAAAAAAAACGCTCGTCATTTCGAAAGAGTCTTTAAAGGGCACATCTTTGGAACCCACCGTGTGCACCCGCTGCCCCCGGGGATGTGAATCCGCGTCTTCAGCGACGGGAAAAGCGAACGGGGACCCTGGCAATGTAAGAGCATCTGGCCCCCCGCTAGCCCGCCCCTGGGACCTGCCCGCGCCGCGCAGCCTGTCCCGGGCGCATCAGCGCCGCGCGGGGCCCCGGGAGGAGGGACGCGGGGGGGCGGCCTGGAGCCGGAGCGCACAAAGACAGCCCGGGGCGGACGGCGCCGCTCGCCCGCCCAGGCCACCGACCCGGGCGCCCGGCCTGAGCTCAGCCTCTCCTCGCCTTCCCTTCTGCTCTTTTTATTAACCAGGAAAAAAAAAAGGTGGGGGGGGGAGAAAAAAGAAAAAAAAAGAAAAGGAAATAAGTCCCACCCCTCTGCCCGCCCTCCGCCTCCCATTGGCCCGACCCCCTTCGCGCGTCACGCTGCGATGCACCAATAGCGACTCGCGATACTGGGAGGTGGGCCGGGCCCGAGCAGGGAGTGGGCGGCGGGTCGGCGTAGCAGCCCCGCCGCGGCTCCGCCACCATCGCTGAGGTGCCGCTGCTCCCACAGACGCTCGCGAGCCGCCCCCCGCGCTCCGGAGCCTCCTCTTCCTCTCGCACGCCGCGAGCCGCTCGCCCGTCTGGGCCTCGGTCCCCGCCTCCTCTGCCCCCCTGCTCGTCCCTTCTCGCGCGCCCCACATTGTCTTTGCCTCATTTTCTCTCTTGGTTGAGGAAAAAAAAAAAATCACCACCCTCCTCAGCGAGCCCCTCGCCCTCCGAGAAACAAAACCAGACATGATCCTGGGCGCCTGCTTCTGAAGGCTCGGGCGGACCCGGAGGAGGAGGAGGCGGAGGGAGCCAGGGCTCGAGTCGCGGCAGGGAGCCCCAGCCCCGTCGCGTCCCCCGGGCGGGTCCCTCGGCCTCGGCCCGCGCCCCGCGGCCTC